TATTCAGCAAATAAACGCCTCCAGTTATATATAAACTCATTGCCCTTCAGTGAAATTCCTGGATTTGTATGGTGAATGTGCTGCTCATGTGAATTGTGTAGATTGAAAGAGTTTCAGGAGCACTGCTGGATGATTTCTGGTTTCTAGAAATCAGTGCTTTAATGGCTGCTAACTGAAACCTGTTTTGTGCGATATTAGTTTCTTAAGCAGTTGATTTCATTTTCACAAATATGATATCGCTCCTCAATAGCTTTAGAATGGTGGGAGCAAAAAGGCTAGTATGAGTAAATTATCATTGTTTGCAACCAAGACAGTGAAGTACCTCTTTTTTTGTCTGAAATTGATGTAGAACCCCTTGATTCCTGTGGACTGTACTGCCTATGAGAGCTAAGCGATCGTCTGCAAATTACATCGCAAGTAGTGATCATAGGGGTCCATGCACATCACACCTTATGGCCCCAGAATAGGCTTTTTAGCTGACAGAACACAAATGACAGTTGCTTTTAGAATGGCCTCTATTCATAATAACTGTTGAGGCAAAATCTTAAAAGGAGTTGTTGACCAGATTTCGTGCACACTGATTTCAAAATACCTGGAAAGCAGTATAGTTTTTGACATGACTTGAATGGCCATAGTTGTGTTCAAAGAACTGAATCTTTCTACAATCTTCATCTTGCAAGGGTACACAAACCTGGTCCTGGAGATCTACCAGACTGCAGAGTTTAGCTCCAGCAGTTATATATCTTGATCCGACAAAAGATGCTTTCAGAGGCATCTAAGAATTAGACACAGGGCTGTTAGGTCTGAACTCTCCAGGGTGGGGGATCTCCAAGACCAGGAGTTAGTTAGTTGTGAACCTATTAAATTTTACTATGTCTGTCAATTACATAGACATTGTGAGGCATAATGGACTTTGAAGGCATTCATTTGGCCCCTGAACAGGAACTGTGTCCCTGTTGGCCCCACCTAAAAAAAAACCAACAATCAAAAACTAAGGCTTATCATTCAGTAACTACATGGACTACAATGCAAACTGGCACAGTATGACTTATGTTACAGAAGTGTGTAGTAAAACTTTGGACCCACCTGAGGGCCCTGGCCATTTAAGGGGTTAAAATGTGCGGAAGTGTGTTCTCTGTAGAGGATGACTTATTTTCACTTAGAAAATCAACAAAACATAGAATTTGACTTGGGGGGCAAATCTTTGCATACAACGTTGTTTATTTGACTTGAATAAAACAAGTCCAGTTGCTTGCTACCCCATCATTTTCATGTCATGAACTAGCAAAGTAATACCTCTGTATACTAAGTCTGTTTTAATTTCAGGTTGACTTCAAGGAAAGATTTAAGCAAGCAGCTATAATTCTCCAAATGCTAAATGTAATCTCTATTTGGGGTGGGGGTGGGGGTGTTGAGGGTTGGGTTGAGGGGTGCGTTTTCTCAAGACCGCTAAAATGAGATTATGATCTTGTGTGCTGTACACACACAGGATTTGCCTGTCATAGTGGTACTTCTTGCATCCCTAAGCTTGTGCAATTAAACAAAAGGAATCCAGATAGCGCTGAGTTCTCAGTGATAAGACGCAGGTGGGAGAAGCTTCTGCTGGGGGATGAACAGATAACACACTTACCCCCCCCCCAACATACACATGCATGGTTATGGCTTGGTAAACATCAGCATGTAGATAACTGCATCTCTGCACAATCTCCTTACAAATCGTCCTCTGCTTCTGGGTTAAACTCAGTCTTCTGTGATTCATTTACTCTGGCAGTGTCGCTAAATGCTAAATGCTATGCCCCCAAAAAATGAAAAGATATCCCTGAAAAATATGTAAAAATCCCTGAAAGTATGAAAAGACATCCTTAAAAGTATGAAATCTCTGTTTCTTATCATGCAGTGGATGATGGAGGGGCTGCTGAAGCCTAGCCAAGGAGTGACGTTAGTGCTTAGCATTGTTAAGACCTTTTTCAGCTTTTTAATGTGAACTTAAGACTTTTATCTACACTTCCATTACGCTTTAATCGCACCCATTTGCTGTGAACAGCATATTAACCCATAGACAGCAAGTTTGTATTGTTGTTTATTCTACTATTCAATAGTGGTGTCAAAGCTAACGCATAAACTGATTCATCAATAATTCATCACGTCAATGCATCACGTCAATGCATTGACGTGATGAATTATTAATGCCACTTTAATCGTAGAGGAACGGAACAACTGACTGTATACAGTTGTATGCAAAAGTACACATTTAAGGGCACATTTTCAATTTATTTACTAGATTCTACATTAAAATGTGAGCAAGTGTCTTCTCTGTAGAGGATGTTTTAACTTATTATTACTTAGAAAATTAACAAAACATGAAAATTCAACAAGGGTGCAGAAACTTTTGAGTACGACTGTGTATATGATATATGCACCGATCAGGCATAACATTGTGACCACCTCCTTGTTTGTGCACTCACTGTCCATTTTATCAGCTCCACTTACTATATAGGTGCACTTTGTAGTTCTTTTACCCTGTTCTTCAGTGGTCAGGACCCCCATGGACCCTCACAGAGCAGGTACTATTTGGGTGGTGGATCATTCTTAGCACTGCAGTGATGTGGTGGTGGTGTGTTAGTGTGTTGTGCTGGTGGAGTTTTTAAACACCTCAGTGTCACTGCTGGACTGAGAATAGTCCACCCACTAAAAATGTCCAGCCAACAGCGCCCTGTGGGCAGCGTCCTGTGACCACTGATGAAGGACTAGAGGATGACCAACACAAACTGTGCAGCAGCAGATGAGCTATCGTCTCTGACTTTACATCTACAAGGTGGACTGACAAGGTAGGAGTGTCTAACAGAGTGGACAGTGAGAGGACACAGTGTTTAAAAACTCCAGCAGTACTGCTGTGTCTGATCCACTCGTACCAGCACAACACACACTAACACTCCACCACCATGTCAGTGTTATTGCAATGCTGAGAATGATCCACCACCCAAATAGTACCTGCTCTGTGAGGGTCCATGGGGGTCCTGACCACTGAAGAACAGGGTAGAAGGGGGCTCACAAATATATATACACTATAATGCCAAAAGTATTCGCTCGTCTGCCTTCACATGCATATGAACTTGAGTGACATCCCATTCTAAATCCATAGGCTTTAATATGATGTCGGCCCACCCTTTGCAGCTATAACAGCTTCAACTCTTCTGGGAAGGCTTTCCACAAAGTTTAGGAGTGTGTTTATGGGAATTTTTGACCATTCTTCAAGAAGCTCATTTGTGAGGTCAGACACTGATGTTGGACGAGAAGGCCTGGCTTGCAGTCTCCGCTCTAATTCATCCCAAAGGTGTTCTATCAGGTTGAGGTCAGGACTCTGTGCAGGCCAGTCAAGTTCTTCCACACCAAACTCGCTCATCCATGTCTTTATGGACCTTGCTTTGTGCACTGGTGCGCAGTAATGTTGGAACAGGAAGGGGCCTTCCCCAAACTGTTCCCGCAAAGTTGGGAGTATGAAATTGTCCAAAATCTCTTGGTCTGCTGAAGCATTAAGAGTTCCTTTCACTGGAACTAAGGGTCCGAGCCCAACTCCTGAAAAACAGCCCCACACCATAATCCCCCCTCCACTAGACTTTACACTTGGCACAATGCAGTCAGACAAGTACCGTTCTCCTGGCAACCGCCAAACCCAGACTCGTCCATCGGATTGCCAAACGGAGAAGCGTGATGCTTCACTCCAGAGAACACGTCTCCACTGCTCTAGAGTCCAGTGGCGGCACTTTACACCACTGCATTCGACGCTTTGCATTGCACTTGGTGATGTAAGGCTTGGATGCAGCTGTTCGGCCATGGAAACCCATTCCATGAAGCTCTCTACTCTGTTCTTGAGCTGATCTGAAGGCCACATGAAGTTTGGAGCTCTGTAGCGATTGACTCTGCAGAAAGTTGGCAACCTCTGCGCACTATGCGCCTCAGCATCCGCTGACCCCGCTCTGACATTTTACGAGTTGCTGTCATTCCCAATCACTTCCACTTTGTTATAATACCACTGACAGTTGACTGTGGAATATATAGTAGAGAGGAAATTTCACAACTGGACTGTTTAATTGTTCTTTACAGGATCTACTTATACAGGTGGTGTAGTAGACCATGTGGTGTCCGCTCACCAAATATGTTGTCAGCTTTTATACGGACACATCTTAAAGAATGTTCTTATTCACTATGCTGCTGGGTCTGCATCAGGGAATGCTGGCATGGCTGGTTAAACAAACAAACAACTGGACAAACCAACAAGCAAATGGATGACGGGCATACAGATGAGCTCGCTTGACAGCTCAGTTATGCTTGCGAGGTTAGCTTTCGCTTGGTTGTTAGCTTTCACTATGTACTCCAACACAGAGGGATTGTAGGGGAAGACAGTTCTATTAAAGCTGTAACAGTGTATGAGAAACTGGAGGTTTAATCCATACGACTGCAGCTCACTGGGTTATTGTTATCATTTGGCTGAGCTATTTAAATGTAATTATACAATTTCATACTTAATTGAACAATACTGCTCAGCCAATCAGAACAGAACCTGTTTACATATCAGCCTTTGAAGCACAGTAACAAAAACAGGCTGTTTAACTATAAGGGATAAAGGGAGATTGGAAAATGGTCATGGAAAAATGAATTGTGATTGATTTTAATTTTCTCATACATTTCTCATATATATATATATATATATATATATATATATATATATATATATATTTTCACTTGCTCTAATGCATGCAATTGAAGCATGTTCTCTGTAGAGGGTATATAGGACAGTTTATCTAGTAAACTGAAGCTTCAGTTTATTTAGATGTGTTCACTTATTTTCTCCTTTTTTTATCGACAAAGATTTTAATCAACATAGTATGGTACTTGAACAGGGGTGCTCTAACTTTTGAATACGGCTGTATTTGTGAGCGTGCATGCATGCATATGTGTGTGCTCGTTTAGCGGCAGAGAGCGACCACCCTCGTGCGTTACTGTGTGTGTGTGTGTGTGTGTGTGTGAGAGAGAGAGTGAGAGGGCGTGTCCTGGCTTAGTGTTTCGCCTCCACCTGAGCTTTAAAAGCTCCGGACCCTGCGTGCGCTTCTCATTCGCGCTCACCCACACACACCCCCTCGTGCAGTATGTATGAGTCCGGCCGCTCGCTCTCGCTCCCTCTGCGCGCGCCACTGCTGTTGCGCGCTCCCGCAGGTTTGGAACGCGCCTTCCCGCGGACGCCGAAGTGCGCGCGCTGCCGGAACCACGGCGTCCTGTCCGCGCTGAAGGGCCACAAGCGCGCGTGCCGGTGGCGGGATTGCGCGTGCGCGCGCTGCGCTCTGATCGCCGAGAGGCAGAGGGTGATGGCGGCGCAGGTGGCACTGAGGAGGCAGCAGGAGCAGGAGACCAAGAGCAGGACGGAGGGATACGGTCAGTACTGCCCTTTACTTCCCTTTTACTCACTCCAAACAAACACTCGGAGTGCGCTGTTCATCTGCTGGAATGCACACCGCTTGGGTCTCTTGACTTGATGTTAAGCTGGCTAATGCACGAGACTTTTTATGTTTATTTACGCTAAGTCTGTTTGTTAGCTTACTCTCATGCATGCATGCAATTTATGTTTGCGTGCATGCTGTTAATGCAGTACACGATGTTTTATTTACATTTTTGCATGCAAGCTGTTTATTTACTCTGTGCAGCTCTATTGCATGACTATTCTTTGAATGCATATTTGCTCCAGTCCTTGTTTTCCATGTACTCTGATGCGTTCTGTTTGTTTACTCTAAAGCATGCTGTTTATTTACATAATGAATGCTGTTCATTCACTCGAATGCACGAGGCTGTTTGTTTATTCACTATAATGCATGCACACATTTACTCTAACCATGCATGTTGCATATCTACTTCAATGCATGTTGATTATTTACTTTAATGCATTGTTTATTCACTCCAGTGCACGCTGATTATAGGAGCATGCACACAATACCTTGTATCTGTTTTCATTTATTATATCTTGTTCTGCATACATTTATTATTTTTTATTCTCTTCTATCTTCTCATGTTTTTTTTTATTCTTGTTTTAATGATGCCTAAACATTCTATATTATCTTCTCTTGTTTTCAATTCTGTTCCATTCTTTTCTCTTCTCATCTTCTCTTCTCTTCTCTTCTCTTCTCTTCTCTCAAAGCAGGACGAATCTTTAATGCTCTCTAATTACTCTTTGCAGGTGACCCACTGAACTCATACATGTTTAACGGCTTCCTGATCGCGTCCCCGCCAGCCCCGCTGACCTCTCCAGTGTCCAGCAGCCCCGTTCTCCCCGGGGAGCCTGTTAAAATGAGCGGGACCGTGTCTCCCGGCCTCGACCGGCTGTCTGACCGCACCTCCAGCCCTCCGTCTCTCACATCTTCTGACCAAGAGTCAGGAAGTGAGTGTGAAAAGATCAAAGCCGCTTCTCCTGACCTGCTAAGCCCAGTGGTGTCCAGCAGAGAACGGGACCCGACCCAGATTCTGCTGAAGATTTTTCCTCATCTCAAACCAGACACTGTGGAATCAACACTGAGGTCATGTGCTGGAGACATTGTGAAGGCCATCGAAGCTCTTCTGGCCTCCAAAGATGAAGCACTCACACCACTATCTGAAAGTCCATCTCCTTCCATCACCAGGAACCTTCTGGAATCTCCAGAAAGTTCAGGAACCCTCAGCTCCAGCTCCGCTTTCTCTCCTTTACACACCTCAGCCACTAAAGCGTTGGCCAGCGACAGCTTGTATGGGTTGAGTCCTCGTTTTGGGATCAATCCGCTTCATCTAGCCTATTCCGCTTCGTCCACCAGAGGTGCTTTACCCAGTTTTATATCTCCATATCTTCCAGGACTGCTGCCAGCTTTTCCTCTCCGCGCTCCTCTTCATTACCCTTTCCCTGGGACGTCCGGCGAGCTGCCCTATCAGGGCAAAGACACTTTCACCGCCACAGGCCTTTACTCCTCTCTCAGCCATGGAAAATAAAGCCGTTATTATTAACCTTCGTCTCACAATCAGCCTCTGAATCGAATTGGCCAATTAATAAGAGTGCCAGGGTTATTTGAAGTGGGGCGATAGAAGAACCACTTTTGGCTCCCTAAAGAAGCTTTCACTGGATGATTCTTTAAAGAACCATTTTTGGAAATTAACCTTTTTAAAGAACCTCCACATGATGTTATTTTGTATGTCAATGCCAAGAACCATTCAATAATAATTCATAGTAGTTACTGAATAAGTCTAAAGCTCATAACGATTCAATATGATCGCAACTCTTTAGAAAACAATTCAATAGATCATAAAATCTCACATTTCTCAGTGATTTTATCAGATTCAGGATGATTATTGTTTTGGGATGAATACGAATTTTGTAAAATACAATTTTTTGTGTTAGAATAAGCTAGAGAATGTTATTTTGGCCAAAATTTGAGCACATACTTTATTGAATATGATTATAATATTAGTGCAGTATTAATATTATTATATATTAAATCCTAATGTTCCAAAATAAATGCAGCTGAATCACTGCCTTCAGATCACTGCATTACAGCACTACTTTTTTCAGAAGCAGAGTTGCTTTTATTGGCCAAGTAAGATATTACTCTTTTTATCTGTGAGGTACTGATTTACACATTTATTAATGTTCTGTAATTATAATGCAATAATATGTGTTGACAACAATGTATAAATGTACCAATATTGCCTTGAAATGTAGCAAACGTTCTATTTTTATACTTTAAATTTTGCTTTCCAGCCTCAATTTATTGTTGTTATCTGCTGTATATATATATACATTTCATAAATAAAACGTTCACATGGAAAAAAACAAAAACAAATGAAGTCCAGTAAAATGGCGTGTTGATTTCTTCTTCTGCACCTTATCTGTTCTGTCTTTTCACATAAATGTAGACTGAAAAGAGTGCTGCTTTGAATGTATTGATTTCAAATAATTTCCACACAAAATAAAATAAAATACCGCTTTGATTACAGTCTACTATTGACAGTGATTGTGTTGATGTAATATATTTCATTGACATTGTAGCATTAAGTTTATGTTGCAGCATTAAAAGCTCAGGGTGAGACTTTGGTAGAGCATAAGAGCATTCAATGGGAAAGCAATTCCCATAAATAATATTTTCTAAATAATAAAATAAAATAATTGTTTCTTCCAAGGGAGAGCGTTTCATAATACCATGTCCTATCCATGTTCAAGAACATCCCTACTTGTTGTGGCTTTTGAAATGAGAATATAGACTGTAATCTTGCTTTAAAGCCACTTTTCAAAATCAATTTATTATCGTCCTTTGTTTTAGTACCTTAAACTTAATACGAATTCAAAATTTTTAGCTGTAAGTGAAACAGTTTTGGACTCATAATGTCTTTTAAACAGTCATACTGCTCATCTGTGAAAAAGCAAAATATATAGACTCTCAAATGTTTTCAAGGTTCAGGTCTTTTGTAATGAGAACAATTATTCTCTCACAAAACCGTCAGTCATCACGTTGTATCTTATTCATATATACTGCGTTTAAACATCTGTCAAGTTTACTAAGAGGTCAATGTTTAACACAGGCTCCTGAATGACAGTATACTTTAGCCCAATGTAATACTCTGGCTACTTTCATAGTGTTTACTTCCAATACATACACCAATAAGGGACTCCTTGCCCCAACCCCAACCAACGGCATGCCACCATGCACTGCAAAAAAACTAATGCTGACTTTACTTAATTCAATGTGTGTTCCATATGCACAAAATATATTAAATCAACTCAATTCTTGTCAAATGTGAGTAAACTGAAAGAAAAAGGTATGTTGATGTAACATCCCAGGCATATATTGGTCTGCTGGCTTGATAAGGTCGGCCCCACACTGACTGTATGCCACTGCTGGTCCACCCCTGACCACCCAGATTACTGCCATGCATAAAAGGTCTAACTAGTTTTTAATCTCCACAAACAGATTTTTAAATGCACATAGACTTTTATTCTGGAAAAGACTTACAATCAACTAAGAGAGAAAAAAATATGGCTAGGCCTAATACAAAATGATTTTGTTGAAAATGTTGTTGCTGACACTGAGCTGAACAAATATTATTACTGAACTAATTTACAAAAGACAATGAAAAAAAAGAAAAATAATTAAACCGGACTGTGGGTGGAAAATTACCCATGACAAGTGGAATTTTGTCCAATTTCTCTGCTTAAACACCAATGGGCGGCCGCAAAACGCTGAGCAAATAGCCAGGGGGCCAGCAGCTTTGTCATAGTGGCCCACTATCCTCTTGCTACTGGATATTTTCTTTATATGGAACCAAGGTACAAATCTGAGTCAGGTAAGGTCAGTCCACTTTTTTTTTACAGTGTGTAGTCTAATGACCCCACATGACCCTGGAAAACCAGTAGCGTCAACGGAAGGTCAAAATGCTTGATGGTCACGTGATTCATGTAGACTTCAGATAGTTCCAGGAAGTTCTTTGCGGGCAATTTAAACCCATAAACACAGAGCGACAGAACTGCGTCTTCTGGTACTTTAAAGTCAATAAATGCACTGATTTACAATATTTATATAGAAAACCAACGTGTGTGTAGTTACAACAATATGATATATTTTAAAGTCAAATTCGCTACTATTTGAGGATTAAACAGCTGTCGTTACCTGCCTTTTTGACATGTTGGGTTAATGTGAACATGGTGTCAGAGTGTGTTTTCGTTGTTTCATTGCTTTGACTTTTCAGTATTATAGATATTATGTTCTTAAACTTGTATGGTAGTTAAGATCAGTCATATCCTAATGTTTATTGATATACTGAGAGGGAGGGGAAGGGATGTTTCAAAATTGAGATCGGATTAATTTTCAACATAAATAAATATAATTAACATTAATACATCTTTAATTAATGGTTGTTTCAGTAATCCCAAGGCCTAGATAATCTTAATGACTTGATGACCACTGTAAACTCTATGACTTTCCCAAAGGACAGAAGGAGAAGGAGCCAAAAAAATGTGTTTGGCTTGCATATGAAAAAATCTGTATTAAAAAGCGAACATTAAAACACATCACATCCAGACAGGACAGGACACAATAAACACATCTATTTCTATTTGTTTGTACACATATAAACACATTTCATATATCTTACCTTTTTACTATGCACGTATTTACTGCGACGGATTCATTAAATAAAGCTATAATGAACTCAGACATGAACAGCCTGGCAGGCAGTTTGTCTGTGCCCTTTTCTCCATGTTGCCTTTGCATATAGCCCCAGCATGGTTTGCTCTGCTGCATGGAGATGCTTCAGTCGCTCGGAGAAAGGAGTGAAAATGTTTGGTTCCTCCACTGACAGAGAGAAGAAAAAACTGCTGGCTCAAGTCAGCAGGAGCAATTACTGAATTACTGACCATCACTAAAGATTACAACAACAACAACGTGACACTGCATACGTTGCACAAACAAAAGCCTCACCACTGGAAAGCTTAATGTTTTATTTATTAAAAATAAGGAACAGGTAAAGAATTGCAAAACCCAGGGAGCTGAGACTCAGGGTGCAGGGTGGGGGTGCTGTCTTATTGTAGGGAGTCTTTAGGCTGAGTTGAATCCCCCCGTGGTTCTTGCCATTAATCCAAAATCAACTAAACTGCAACGTAATGTACAGAAACAGCCAACAGAATTTACAAAGCCTGCAAACACCCAATCCATACGTCTTATATTGGTTTACTCTTTAAAGTCTCCAATATGCGCTCTAAATCCACATCAGTAGTGACGTATCACGAAAATAGCTCTTTCTTTTTATTGTGTAACTCAGATTAGCTCGTACTCCAAAATGGATAACGATATTCTCATGTAATCTCCTCCACTTCCTCCCCTCTACAAGCTCTGCCCCAGTTTTATATTTACTAATACTATAATAATATAATACTAATATTTAACTCACCCACCCCGTGAAAAATCATGTTTAGAAGCCTTTTCTAAGATTCAACAACGGTGGATGAAACGATATTAAGAGCAGGGGTTTTACCATTACTAGGCTGTTTATGGTTCACATTATGGGTTCCTAACTTTACTCAGTACACCAGCCTAATCTGTTCCTTAAATCTACTAATTTAATCGGGGATAATCCACTGACACCCTTTAATATACATGTTGATTTGATTCAGATGTGCTTATTATGCACCAACTGATTCTTTAATAGTTTTACCCTTTTAAAGTGAATCACAGCCGGTCTGTTCTGCTGCAGCTCGGCCGCGCTGCTATTATTTGCTGCTAACTTCTAACTATTGAGGGGCTCCACGATCCGCCATAGCTGTAAAAAAAAAAATCCATTGGAGTGACCGGAGCTGACGCAGCTCTCTCTCTATACGGCTCTGAACTGCCCTTAGGACCGTGCACTGCATTGAATGCAGTTACTGCCATCTTCTGGATGAGGACCAGACAAACCTCATCAGCTGTGCTGGGTCCCGTTGCTTTATCGAGACTTCATCAGCCTCAGCCAAGTAACGCTATGTTATTAACCTTAATGGGAATGGTCTTAAAAAAGATGGTCATATATACTCTTAACGCATTCATGTCCAACACCTGAATTCAGTATGGTAAGAATGCCCCAGAACGTGTTCTGATTGGTCAAAAGTGATGACCGTTTGGTTTTTGATAAGTAATTTTCATAATTTTTTTCACGATCATATTTGCACTTTTTTTTTTATTATTTTGTTAAAAATCAGTAGTTCAATTTTCAGATTTGGACCCGGATAGGCTACAACGTGCGGACCACAGGACATTTAAAATGTCAAATACGGACATTAATGGGTTAAGAGAGTCGTAATTATTTCCTTAATTAGTCTCTGTCGTTGTACGTCGATCAGCAGCGCGAGACACATCTTGTATTTTGAATTTTAACGGCTTTAACCGACATCAGCCTTTGGGGCCATTTCAATATGATTAACTTTGCTCTGGGTCTGAAGACAAACGACGAAACAGAAGGAAAAAAACGACGACGCGTTAAAAATATTAGTAAACGTACTAAAATAACTGACACTTCAGAAGAGAAAATCATTTGGTGGCACTGAAGCTGCGGAATCAGGTAAAGTTAACCTACCTTATCTAACGCTAGCTGGCTAAGATAGGTTAGCTAACCTAGCTTAGCTAGCAAGCCTATTTTCTCTGCAGTTAACGTTAATGTTTGCTAATTGACAGTTATACACATAAGCTATTTTTATAACTTGTACCAATACAAATATGTTATACTGTGAAACTGACAGTATTTGGAGTATGCAGTAGTTTAAGTATTTAACTTTAACGTATTTTTGATAAACAATGTCTTCTTTTACACTCGCTAGAATTAGTTTATTATAAGATTAAAGCTCATCTATGAACGCCAGTTTCAGTTGTATTAAGGCATAAGGTGAGATAGAAATTAACGTCATGTTTTAGAAGGTTTTATTTCTTAATCACGCAGTACTATCAGCGCCGTCTGACTAACGTTATTAACTAGAAAACGAAGAAAAAAGACTTGTGTTGTCATTTCATCTGGGTTTGCTTGTTATCAAAAACTACTGATTTTTAACAAAATAATGAAAAAGTGCAAATATGATCGTGAAAAAAATATGAAAATCACTTGTTATCAAAAACCAAACAGTCATCACTTTTGACCGATCAGAACAAGTTCTGGGGCATTCTTATCATACTGTTGAGGTTTCAGTCAACTCGCTATTCAAACCTATACTGTATTAGAACAATCTTTGACCCCCATATATTGACCATGGGCTGCTTGTGAGAATAAACAAGTGGGCGGGCCAGTTTCTGAACAGAGAACAGAAAACAAGAAAACGCACACCGAAAAAATCAATGAAAACCCGAAAAATTACAGACGTTCCCAGAAATATGAACACCACAAAACTAGCAAGTACGCAAATAAATAAATAAATAAAATTCCGCCCGGCTTGTTAAAGTGGGAAAGTCGTCGACCAATCAGAAGCGGGTCAGCAATCACGTGGTTTTGTTTTGGGGAAGCGTGAAACACGAGCGGCGTAAAACACTCGTGCAGCGTTTAGCGTTAGCGTGTAAACTTTCCGTTAGATTAGTTCTTGTAATTTTTTTCAGATTAGTTGTCGAGCATACCACCCTAACGTAACATGCAGGCGATGTTTAGAGGACATGCAGTCTAAATCAGAGACATGCTGCTAACAGTATCCCGCTAACATGGAGCTGCTCTTTCAGCTCATTTTGGCTTTTCTGCTTTTTTCCGAGTGTTTTATAGAGACGAAGAAAATCCGCGGAGTTTCCATGTCATGTTAGTACTGTGAAATATTGATTGCTGAATAAAAGCAAGTAGACCAACAAGAGTACTTGAGTTTTAGCACAATTTTACTGATAGTGGAAGATTAGATTAGTGCCACTGTATGTGTATGAGTATTTGTGGGTGTACGTGTGTATTCGTCCCTTTATGGGCACTAGATATCTCCAGTCTGATGCACAACATGACACAGAAACACATTAACCACCTCTCAAAGGCAGAAATACAGATAATAATGTATGAGTGATATGGAATGACTTGGTTCAGCTGACTGTTGTGTCTCTGTGCTTCCGCAGACAGAAGGCTGTACAGAGAGAGAAAGTCTTTTCTCTGTATGGATGGCTCCAGGTTGATCCCCTTCAGCCAGGTGAATGACGACTACTGTGACTGTGCTGATGGCTCAGATGAACCTGGTGGGTTAATATCTGTCTCAGGTGTTTTGAAGTGTTGTATACGTATTTTAATTTATTTGCAATCCTTCATATGCATTTGTGCACACATGCTCACTTGCATGATCACTACCCATAGTATTAGTAACCGTATTATCTACAAATTGTTGTGATGAGGAATCAAGCAGTCATTTTAATGGAAGCCTAAACATTAAACTGAGAAGTAACAAGCCGTGCACATTATTTGAAGTGTTTTTTAAAAACGCTGGCATCATATTGTGAACATTGCATTCCTGTCTGAAATATGACTGACGACTGGGTTGTTTCTCTGTGCTTGGCAATTTGGAGATGATTTGAAAGTTGACAACTTTTAGAATTGACTTTGGCTTTACTTTTTAATCAAATTTTAGCACAGAGGCATCAAAATGTACTGCGCTAAGTTCTTTAAATACACATTGATTACCAAAAAAGTAATAATTGAAAGGATATGTAACTTTATGATTATTAACCAAATCAAGTCCATAATTCTAATGGGGTGAGAAGCTAGAAAAGGTCAGCAGACAGTGTTTCAGAGAGAGTGTTGTAGCAATGGGAATGTAAACCTCACAGCAGAAAGAAGCAGGCTTTCATTTCCTTTTTCAGAGGCCCAGTACAGTATTTTTCCTCCTTACTCAAAATGACATATTAATAGGAAGTATGTGATTATATTCATACTTGTGCTTCAGCCCAACATTCATTGGGTACTGCATAGTGCATAAAATGACCTCAATTTTTTTTTTTAAATAACATAGCTAACAGTTGAGTCTCAGTCAGCAGCGGAATAGATTAATGCAAAAGTGATCAATACGTAATAAATGAACATTCTTATGTTCTTAAGGTATTAGCTGTGGCGTCCTCTAAATTAATTTAACCATAAAATTTGATTAGTCTCAATTTAATCACAGCGCGGATTCTCGGCCTCTGACCGAGGCCCCTAACAGCCTTTCTCTTGTTGTCTGTCGGGCACCCCCCAAAAAAGAAAGATAGCATGCCAGTATAATGCTTATACAGCTCGTATTTGGATTATTTTAGAGTTCCGAATTTACAGTTACCAATATGAGGCTGAAGTTTCTGTTTGCCAGCTTCTTATTAAAATTTTTCTGTTCCACCGTAAATGGTGCAGCAATTATTGTAATGCCTGCTGCACCATTTAAGGTGGAACATTCAAACAAGAACCTGGCGGATTACAAGCTGACTTCAACCTTGTGTTAACAATGTAGTTCAAATGCAAAACTGGCCATTAGGTGGCTAGCAAACAGAAATCTAGGTGTAGGCACCTCAGTGTGGTGCAGACTGGAAATTTGCATCACATCAACGCAGCCTTAATATATGAATCTGAAGAGGGAGATCCTGAAAAAGAACCTGAGGCCAGATTTATGAAAGATTTCTGCAAAGGCTTTGTGAAGGATCTTAAGACAAACAGTAAGACGTTCATAAGAATGTTCTTTAATACAGTTTTTGAAAATAAATAAATAAATAAGAGAATCTATAAAAAGTTTTTTTGAAGAATAACAAACTATTTTTTCAAGAATGAAGTTAACATTGTGAACTGTGAATCTGGCCACAGTGTTTGTATTACAGTTTGTATTAACTGTTATTTCTGTTATTTAGTTTAATTTAGTTCCACTCAAAGGAGCAAAATGGAGGAAAAAAACAAGCATTTTAAAAAATATTAGAAAACAGGAACTAATGGTAAAAGAAATAGGCAACAGGGAAAATAAATTTAGATGCTTACATTGTCGAATCCTACAGCCTAAGACGAGTGTGAGGCTGTAGTAAGGTTAAGAAAATATTTAATAACATAATATGTTCAATAATACAAATATCATTTTCAAGAAAATAAGATAATTCTTAGCAAGTTGTTTCAAGAATAACAGTTTCATGTAACTTTTTTCTCGAGAATGAAGTAAAAAAAAAAAACATTTAAGATTTTCTTTCTTAAGACACTCTGTTTATGTCAGACTTCTGTTTGTCAGCCAGCTAATCGAATGTTTTGCATTTCAACTATAACATTAACATGAAGCCAATGTCAGCTCCACCTTAAATGGTGCAGCGGTTACTTTCTGCCTGTGCCCACCCATCCAGATGGTCATGTTTGATACAGAAGCTGTCAATCAATCCACTGGAGTCCATACCCACACAGCAAGCAAGCAAAGTTTATTTATATAGCGCTTTTTACAACAGGTGTTGTCACAAAGCAGCTTTACAAAGAAATCAGCATTACAGAAAGAAATACGGGTCTGAGCCCCCATGAGCGTCGTCAGAGGCGACAGTGGCAAGGAAAAACTCCCTAAGAGAAACAGGGAGAAACCTTGAGAGGAACCAAGACTCAGAAGGGGAACCCATCCTCCTCTGGTCGACACCAGATAGTAAACATTGTTAGTATAAAGTATTATAGTACAAAAACGAGGAAAACAGGTGGAGCAAATGATTAATTTGATTAGTTTTGTTTATGCAGCAGCATCACAGCGTTGTACAGCATGAAGCTCAATGGTGGTCAAGCCGGCCCAGAGGGCTGGCAGCAGTGGCAAACGATCAAGGCAGAAGAGGCAGCAGCATCAGACGCACAGGATGGGCAGCTGTTCAACTCGGCAAAGAAAAGAAAGAAAGGAAAAACACACAGTCAGTTCTGTAATGGGTGACTGATCACTGATTACAGTGTTAGCAGTGCAGCAGAGACTCTGGCAGGTATAGAACCGACAGGGAAAACTAATTACCAAAGGCTTGACTATACAAGTAAGTTTTTAGCCTAGACTTAAAGACTGAGGCTGTGTCTATGTCCCAAACATTAACAGGAAGACTGTTCCAAAGCTGGGGGGCTTTGTATGAGAAGGCTGTCCCCCCTGATGTAACTTTATTAATTGTAGGTACTAATAGTAAGCCAGCACCTTATGATCCAAGTAGGTGTGATGGTTCATAGTGGGAGAGAAGTTCACTCAGGTACTGAGGGGCGAGTCTGTGTACAGCTTTATAAGTCAGTAAGAGAATTTTATAATCAATGTAATATTTAACTGGTAACCAGTGTAGGGTTGATAGAACTGGGCTGATATGGTCAAACTTTCTGGTTCTAGTAAGAACTCTGGCTGCAGCATTCTGGACATAGCAGAAAGGCTACAGAGAAAAAAGAAAATACAAAACACTCCTTTTAATGTGGTTTTAGAGGAAAAATTTAGAAGGTAATTTTAAATATATAAAACTGTCCTATTGCTGAAATATTTACCTCTCACAGATTAAAAAAACACCTGTGCAAGGCCTTAAAGCTTTTTCTAACTAGCAAAGATTGGACTTGGATTCTGTGCAAGTCATCGAATTACAGAGGCCCAGTGGCCTGCATGTCAGAGTCTACTGTATTTGTAACAGGTCGCTGTCCTGTGTTAGAAGATTTCTACATTTCTGAAAGTTTGCTGTAGCTTTGCAGAGCTGTACTTTTCACAGTGTACATGCTCACAATGTTCTTCTTGAGGTGTATGATGTCAAATTTTATGGGGCATTTTCGCCACCAGCTGGGCTGTCATGCACAAAGTCCGTACTGTATTGTACATCAGCGTTGCATATCACCTGCTATACGTCCTTCGGTGTATTACAGTCTGTCAGAATGACGACGTGGATCATATAAACAATGAAGAACATTACAGGGCACTTTTTAAGTAAGACAGAAGAAACTGTATCGTCTCCTACACTTTCTTTAGTGTGTGCATTACAATCTGTCAGAATGACTGTGTGGATAGTTTGAGTGTTATAGAGCACTTTTTTAAAGCCATATCTGCCCTCTACATTTCCTGAAGTGTGTTACAATGTGGTAGAATGACTATATGGAACATATAAACTATAGAGCGTTTTTCAACGTGAACAAGTTGTGAAATTTGTTCACTAATCACTGCAGTTGCAGTTAAGTGGCTTTGGCAGTTTTAGGCTACAATTTGCACAACTGTTCTTGTTATAGTTCTGGCCTTATTTTAAACCAGGGTGAGGATTAGAGTTATAAGTAAAATCACTGCATGTAACGTTGTGGTTCACCCAGCACTTACAGCTTAAGGGAAGGGGTAAATATTTAGTAAATAGTAAGTTCAGCTTTGAATGAGTAGCACATAACCTAAAACTTAGCAAACACTTATATTTTAAATAGCCTATGTTTGAATTTACCATTGGCAGATGACAAAACACAGGAGCGGCCATGATTCTGCTGCAATGCTCTGTATTGAACACGGAGTGAGAAAGTGAGTGAGAGCACCAGCCAGTTGCAGGATGCTACATTATGTACAGCTGGTGTAACCCACCTCTGGAGTACAGTAACTGTCAGCCACTGTCAGTCTTTGCAGCAGTGGTAAAGAGTACATAGCCAGTGTTTAGATGGTTGATGTAAACATAATGTCCTACACCCTGTATATGTGTGTGTGTGTGCATGCAGGTTTACTACAGCAAAGAGAACACAGTGTCGTATTATTGGACATTTCAGCAGCAGCCTACTGGAATTCAATAACATCTGCCTTTTTAAGGTTGCGACTAACAGGACAATCTGCTTTTTTGCTGAGTTGGGAGGTAGTTGTGAGTCTGTGTGTTTACTAGTGTCCTGGAAGGCCTCAGTTCAGCATGTTTCAGTAGAGGTTATTGACCTGTGTTTAAGCTGCCACTGTATTGCTTTTCTAATAGATGCAGGCGAGCGGCTAATGAGTGTAGGGCCTTGTTGTCATGTTGCTGTTTTCTGCGTATTGATTAGTGCTCACACAAACACACACCATATCTGTTGAGAACAAACCTCTTCTGTCATTTATTTTAGATAGTGCTGCCGCTGCAAGGACAGTTCAGCCAAAAGCTAACATGGGTAGTTATGAATAGAAGCTGTCAAGGCACAACCATGCTAATGGCTGGGATTCATGCCTGAACTATGCAGAGCGCCTCCCTTTACTGCAGTGTTGAACCAGTTAGCTTTTTTCGATTCAGATTCAATTTCTGATGAGCAGGATTAGCCAGTACCAGTCTACTCAGGGGGTGGACACAATGGCTTTTGAAAGTAGCTGAAAGTAGCCCAAAGGAACGGTCTATGTTCTGGCATTTATTTTAACTGAAATGACAATAAATAGTTAAATTAGAAAAGGAATAGCATTCAAGAGACCATTAACAATGCAAGCTTGATAAATCCTAACTCAAAACACATTTATTTAGGCGAGCATATGCCTGGAGTATTTTGACTAATTTGCTCTTAAAAGAAGTTAAAGAACTTTTTGTAGTAATGAAATTTTGTAACTAAAATGAAAAGTGCTGTATAAATAAAACATATTATAATTGTTGCTATTATTGAATAAATATTTCCTATTGTAAATATACACTAATATTGCGAAATGAGTTTTTGTCTTCGTCAGGTTTTTTTTTATGACAGATTGATGTTCTTATTCTTACACGTTTGTCTCATAATTTCTCACATCAGATCACCTCTTGGTCATCAGACACATTTACAGTTGAATCAGATTCTAAACTTAAGGCACCCAGGCCTTCCATCCTTATTTTACTAATGACTTATTTTATTATGTTCACAGTATTGGTAAAATTGTTCTTTTGCTTTTCTCAGGTACGGCAGCCTGCCACAATGGACGTTTCTACTGTATGAATCTAGGCTTTCGTCCACATTATATCCCGTCTTCCAGAGTCAATGACGGCATCTGTGGTGAGTCCAGCAGTGGACTGTAAATGTTTAAACAACACTTTGGTTTTAGAGTGAATGCCACTGAACTTAAGACTAATTTAACATTCTTTATCCAGCATTTGAATATTAGACATGGCATTTTAACTGTGTTTGGTAAACAAATAATATATATTTTCTGCCTTTCTCATTCTCAATCAGATGTTATTCATATAGACAGTTCCGTTTTGTCCAGACTACTCTTGTTTGATGCTAGACTAATTGTTATGTATATAAATGAACAGTTTGATAGGAAAAGGTTTTGTTCTGTTCTTAGTTTTAAAACCATCAGAGGCTGTTTACACCTTGCATCAGCATATGTTTTTGGGATCGAATCATGTTTGGATTTCACTTGACTGCATGACAAGCCAGGTGTAAACACCTCTGGGTCACATTGTCATGGATTACTCAAACCACATTTGGAGTTTTTCACAGATGGATCTTGACTGCATTCAACACAAGTGTTAATGGAATGCGTTTTACTGTTATGTAAATGGAAACGTGTCTGCAGAGTGCTGACTCACAGGTAAGGGGATAAACAAGGAATCCCAAGATGGAGGATATGCAAGGCTGAAGAAACCCCCAAGCCAAGTGCCTTCATTCACTCTGAGCCATTGAAAGCATCCAAGATTTGTGGATTTGTGTTGTAACAGGGGAAAAAGGAAACGGAAGTAAAACAGAAACATTAAATGTGCTGATGTGCTTTTTAGGGAGGAAATTGAAATCGGGTCTCATCTGGTCACACTGGGGGTGCATTTTAGTGAAAACTATAAATGGAATCTGATAAATCCAGATATGATCCAAATATAAAACACTTGTTAATGCAAGGTGCAAACATCTTCTCAGAGTTAATTATTTATCCTGCTTGTATACACCCAGTTCAACTCATGTATGGCTTGCTAATGAGCTGCTGAGTTGAATCAGGTGTGTTAAATCAGGAGAAAACTTTGCTGTGTGGTGGCTCTCTAACACTTGAGTCTTCCACCTTTGCTATCTGTATTTGCTAGTGTTTGTGAGTTAAGTTCACTAGTGAAGATTTTTCTGTGCTTCTGCAGACTGCTGCGATGGATCTGATGAGTTTGCTAGCCGAATGCAGTGTTCCAACAAATGCAGGTGAGAAACCCTAACCCTAACCAAAAAACTGGTTGAAGACAAAGGTGTGCTTGTGCTGCTGACAGATATGATAGATATGTTCTTCTTTTAGCTTTGTTTTTGTTTTTAGTTTAGGGTGGATAAAGTTTTGTCAGAGATCCTAGCTTTACTGTGGATACAGTATGTAGTGATACATAGCTGTACCTCTGCTCTCCAGCAGGGGTCACTGTCTGTCTGCAGTTGACGGTCAGGTCTTTCGCCATAAAGGCAGCGTTAGACTGGATCTGTGTGCAGCTAGATTAGGCCTGCAGAGAAATGAACACAATATAGTGTGCTGCAGTGTCTGCCTGCACCAATACAGAGAGTGAATGAGAGAGGGGAAGAGAGCAAGATGTCTACACTCCCTGTCCAGTGGAAACTCCAGCTTTATAGGTTTACTGTATAGGTGTACAGATTTCAAATTACAGACAAATTATAGCCCATCTGTTGCTGCACAGTTCATCAGCCCCCCTCTAGTCCATTCATCATTGGTCAGTCTCTGACCACAGGACCTCTTTTGATTAGATATTATTTGGGTAGTGCCTGTGGTGTGTGGTGTTGAGTCAGGCACAGCGGTGTCCACCACCTAAAAATATCCAGCAGAGAGCAGTTCTGTGGTCTGACCATTGGTATGGGGCTAGAGGATGGTTAGCACAAACTGTGTATCAGTCGTTGGGTTACAATCTGTACACCAGCAAGGTGTTCCTTCCACTGAAAGGTTTCTGATAAAATGGCCAGTGAGTATAGATGTATAGGTCAAATCAGAATATAATGGAGAATAAAAGATTGTGAGATGAAGTTGAGGTGGAGTCAGAGACAAAGAGAAAGATCTGAAAGAATGTGGTTATCATCAGATCTTTTCTGTCTGAAGGATGTTGGGACAAAAAGAGAGACGGGAACTGGAAGAGAGAATGAAAGCCGTGAACGAGGGATTACTCCTGAAGAAGGAATTAATAGAGGAGGGTGCCCTCATCTGGCAGGAGAAACAGGTGACCTGTGACTGATGACCTTTGAGACCTGTCACTTCTAACCATAACTAAAAGAACTAAAGAAGTGGACTTGTTCACCTGTATATTAGTGCACAAATAACCAAACGGGCTAGTAAACAACAAATTAATAACTGTTAACCCCTCATGGAGCTGGATTAGTTTTCTGTAATGTAAATGTAATGTAAATAGAAATTCTGTAATGAAATTAGTGAGATTTGTTAGGCTGAAGTATCTGCATTATTTCCCCAGATTGCCACAGATAGTCCGGATTGAAAGGTGATAACCTGGTTGTCTTGGTTGGCAGATTTTCTTGCCAGGTTTTCTTATTCCATTAGCATGAGGTCATTACGGTCCGACTGTGAAACCTACACGTATACACAGATTCATGCTGGTTTAAAATCACTTTACAATTATTACTGTCAGACTACTAAATCATACACTACACTCTAAAATTATTATTGTTAAACTGCACACACTGAGGATGCATACTGGATTAAAATCACTCCATAACTATTACCAAAATCACTCCACGAGTTTAGTCAGACTATAAAAACAGCACTTACTGCAGATTCATACTTGTTTAAAATTACACATCACATCAAGTGTTAATCACTTAAATTGCGTAACCTCCTCAGGTGAAAGTAATCCAGCTCTAGTAAGCCTTACTTTTAAGGTAGGAGCACAGATCACACATTTCATTTGTGGGAATTTTGACTAGCGTAACAGTCTCCTACAGCGCACTTCAGGAAGAACTTGAACAGCTTTTCTAAATTGTGTTTTTTTTCGAGGGATTTTAAGGACATCGGACACACACACACACACACACATACACACACCTGTTAGTGTTAGCTGAGTGCTCCAGGGGCTTGCCGCCCTCTCTTGTGCTCTTGCATGATTGACAGATTCAGACTGAGAGGCGGGACGACCTTTGACCCCGCCCACTGTCCCAGAAGTGTCACTCTGATTGGCTGAACAGGTGTCAGATTGGACCATGTTCTCCAGAGTCCTACCAAACAGTACAATGCACTGTTTCTGGGTTACTGAGGTTTCTGGGGTTACCAGGGCTTCATGCCTCAGTGGTGTTAGTGCAGCGCTAGCTGCTAATGCTAGCCGACAAAAAAAGTCTCAGAAAAATATTAAAAAAATACACGGAAATCAATGTATTTTGTGCCTCAAATTAATTCTGAAGTCACAGAGCACCTTTTATTGCAGCAGTAGGAATGTGTCAAACCTTCAAGGTTGCCTTATGTTTTGTTCAATTTCTAGGCTTCTTTTGAATATCAGTGTTTTTATACTGACATTAAACAAGCGTCTCAGAAAAGCTTACAGAGTGCACTTTACTCTGAACCTTGCAGCCCCCTTATGTTGTTCTACTTCACTTATCAAAAAACAGACCAATGGAACTGTACCAAAGTTTATTATTCTATCATTGTACAAATGTTCATTTCAGCCTGATATGTATATATATATATATATATATATGTGTGTGTGTGTTTATTTATATATGTGTTTATTTTTTCTTGTAGTAAATGTTTTATTTTCTTTTTATTTTACAGCGTTCAGTGTAAATCGGTCATTAATATCAATAGCATGTTTCAGTCCCACAAATCAATTTTAAGGGTCATTTTAAGTGTCATGATGTTATGTATTAACATTATTGGCCACCCAAAGTGTTTAGAAGTGGTGAAAAATGCATTTATGGTGCTGGTGCATACATTAGCATGGGTATTACCCACCCTATCTAGACTCTACTACTCCACTGAATAAAACTACCCAACTCCTACGATAGTCATGGATCCTAAATGCTGAGCAACATGATTTATCCAGTTTCCACTGAAAATCAGTATTTATGTAGACGCCTGCTGATCCAGCATTGTTTCTAAAATCACGGGTATCAATAGGGAGTCGCCCCCACCCCACCCCCCCTTGCTGCAGACTCTGCTATTCTTGCAAGACTTTACAGGAGATGTTAGAACATTGCATTCAGCTGCAAGAGCATTAGTGAGGGCAAGTACTGATGTTGCATTATTAGTTCTGGATCACTTCAACTCATCCCCGAGGTATTGGATAGAGCTCTATCAATCCACAATCCAGTGCTGGGGGGCCATCATACCCTTCTAGCCCATGCTTGGCATTAGGCATGGTGACCTTTGGCTCATGTGAGGCATCTCCAGAGTGTTCCATTCTGTTGGTCCTTGCTTTCCTTTGGAGATTCCACCAACTGTGTGTGAAATTAATGTCTGCGTCAGCAATAGTGAATTTACTTCAGTGTTGGCGCTGGTAAATGAGTAAATTCAGGTACTTTAACGGCTGACAAGGGAGACTTTTAGACATATAGTGTGGATTATCAAATAGTTGAAAAGAAAATTAAAGTATAAATAAGATTCAGAAGTCTGGCTTATTGATTTTTTACTCTTCTGAGTAGAAAAGATCTGATGGTGCATATATTTAATAGAAAAGATGTCACTTTGATCTGAAAAGCAATGTGGAGCAAATAGGTACTGTTTAAATTATGAATTGACTATTTGATATAATAGACAACATTGAAAACAGACTAAGACAAAATGGAGAGATGGGATGAAAGAGAAAGAGAGCACAAGAGAATCAGTGAAGTAAAACAAGCAGGAGTGAGAGAGAGAAAGTCTGGCTATCTGAAAATGAGTCTTATAAATCTCTTTAGCAGGGTTTGGGGAAAAGCTTGGTGCGTTTCTGCTTCTGCCCCAGAAAGCCAGTCATGCTTAGCCAAACCCACACTGATAGAATCCATCATTGCATTATGGGTAAATTCTCCCTGGGAAATTGGAAGGCAATGCGGTATACCTACTCACACACACACACACACAGTTTTGGGTTTTTTCAGTAATTGTGCTAGCAGATGTGGAATATAGACCATAATTCTGTGTAGTTTGTCATTGCTGTTATGTGGTTTGATGGAAGTGATTTATAATGGCAAATCAGATCCCTGAACACTCATAAAAGTGCCTGGACTCTTATGCATCCATGCCCTCATTTCATCAATACATAACCTATTTTTGTGCTCTCCGTCTGAGAGACCCTGGCTGTTAAGGCGTTAATACCCATATGGGCTCGGCAATATGTTTCTGTTCATGAGCGTCAGAGCTACACCTGTCACCATTGGTGTATTTTTTTGCTACTGTCTAACTGTTTATAAGCCTATGGTGATAAAAGATGTTATAATTAACCAGTAATCATATGGAAGTACACAGTGTTCTGATAACATGCTAGGGCTGCACTGATCTGCCAAATAGCAGTACTGTGATTATTATTGCTACATAACTACAGTAGCCAAACACCACGCAAAGTACTGAAAACACTAGTGAATTAGTAAAGATTGACCTGCAATATATTTACCAAAAAAAATGTTTTTGGATTAAGTGAATACTTTAATTCATAAAAACAGCCACCGAAACTGGAGTTCTGGATCTGTGATTATTCTGGATGCTCACAGCACACTAAACAAACCACTGGGATTGGTTAGAGGGCACATTGACTTATTGTGATATCTGCAATATCCGTATTGTATAAGCTGATGTCATGATAATGTATAACAAACAATATAGTATTCAGCTTGAATGTTACGTTTGTAGGTTCCATTGTAAATATAGGTTAATTTTCAGATATATGTTGTTTCAACATATACTCATGCAATTTTTCTCAGAGCATACAGAGAGAATGTGATAGTCTGAAGCTGGACTTAGGAGTATAAAAATGCTTTTTCTTCCGAGTTAAATGTAAACAGGATTTTTTTCCTTTCATTTAGACACAGCTTAGTCAGCTCCAGAAGATGTCTGAGGACCTGAGGATTAAGGTGGCGGACTACAGGAAGAGAAAGCTGAGGGCAGAGGCCGAAAAAGAGCGCTTGGAGAAAGCAGTTAAGCCTGACCATAACAGTGAGCACAATATACACACAACACTGTTGTATCAAAACCCTGCCCCTTTTATTTATTTATTTATTTATTTAACTGTTTGAACCCACCAGCTGTCCTTTACATTGTGCAAACATTTCATGATGAATGGACCAATAGAAAGGATCCAAAAGTAATTGGAGCAAAATTCTACATTATAGTTTAAGAACTTTTTCCTTCTCATATACCATTACTACTGATCGAGATGTGAGCTTTTGATAATACAGTGATGACATAGAACACGTTCATGTTTGTACTGTGGCACAGGTTTTATTGTTTTAGTTCCAGAATTTGAAGTGAAATAATGACTATGTTTAATGCAAATGTCAGGTGGCAAATGTCATTCAAGGGTATTTACATCTACATGTGGCTGTGACTGTTTAGAAATCAGTCCTTTTATACAAAGCCTGCATATTTTTCAGACGAAAGGTAATTGACTGTTTACTTTTCCAGCTGTAGATTACTTTAACATTATTTCATTAACAAGAGCTTTAAAAAGATCTGGAGTTGATTCTAAACATGTTACATGTCCATATAGTCTATTGCCATTGTTTCATAAAGAGTAAAGATGCATCATTGTCCTTAAAGCAGGCCTTCGAGAGCCTAAAAATCACAAGAGACAAGTCATAGTCAAAACAAGAGGTATTTTTGACACATTTTTAAGAAGAGAAGAACAAGAATACACTGGGGCACTTAACAACAGCAGAACATTTTCAATCATGAAAAATGAAAAGCTGTTAAACAAGATGCAAGCTAGATGTGAACTGATCACGTCTTTTATTGGCTGATTCAGATTTCTTTGCAGCCAGACTTAAATTTTGAGCAACAGGCAACAAAGACAATGATAGTGTATGTTCTCTAAATGGACATGCATGCACTGCATTTCAGTGTAGTGTGCATGTACTTAACTGGGTCACCTAGTTTACATGACATTGTAATACAGATTGACCAAAATAAAAATTAAATGCCTGACAGGAGCGAAAAAACAGCCAAATCCAATTTTGGCTGATTACAGTCGCGTGTCCCTAATGTAAACCTCAAGAACAGAATGGGCAGGTTATATTTTGCTGAAAAATAAATAAAACCCCGTTTTCACAAACCCCTTCTGCATCTACTCCTTCTCTCCATAATTCAAAACACCTGCTCCTCATCTTTATTTTCATCAAAACTGCACCACAAAACAGCCTAGAAAATTTTACTGGTCTTGTCCATGCAAACCGAACCCTCTATTTTGCCAGTCATTCATCTGCAGTAGTTCCAGGTTTTTGTTGTTGTTGTAATGGTTTTCATGTGTTTTTAAGGTGGATATTACTCGTTGTGCATTTCATTATTGTAGTTGAAAAACACGCACACACACACTTCTCTCCAAGGTGACCCATAATTAGTAGTTTTCTCAAACAGGCAAAAAAAATCTTATTAATCAACAGTCTTATTGTTAATCTTATGGTTTGTTCCAATTATCCATTAATTAGTGTCACATACAAATTTGGTCAAATTTAGTTGGAGTTAACAATGTCTCTATTTGACAAGCTCAGTATGGGGTCGTATGTGTCATATTTTTAAATTAGGGTGTGAAAAGCAACACCACCACCACCTTTTGCTAATCACAGGTGTTGCTGTAATTCCTTGATTAAATCTGAATAGTGGAGCCTCTGTATAATTTACTTGATTCTTTTCACAAAGAAAAGGTGACCTGAAAAACTTGGCCATCTGTATTCAATGGAACAAAGCACAGACTGTCAGTCTTGCAGAAGAATATTGGAACAGGACCACTTTACTGTTCTAATACTGATATCAGGTGTTCAGTTGTCTAAGCTGATATTTATTTCTTTAAAACTATTCTAATTTAATTGAAACTCTTTAGTTGTCCTTGCAAACAGTCTACAACCCTGACTGAACCAGTAGATGGACCAAAGAAAAACATTAGCAAACGTGACTTATACTTGTTGTATGCCTGTTGTGTAGCTAGCTAGTTCTGTACTGTACTGTGTTGTACTAACTAGGTTCTCATTATGTTAATGTAAGGCTATGAGTAGCTACTGTTATCATGTGACCTACTTTACTTCACTTTATATTATGGAACAAGCACATCTGTAATATTTCAGGCTAGATTTGTTACAGAAACAGATCAGATTAGTTTTTCCTCTGCCTGTATCTGGTCCAGCATTTCTTGCTGACATTGGTTCGACACCAAAACTGGATATCAGAACGGTACAGTCGGTAGATAATGGGGATGCAACATTACACAGTTTATCCAGCTGTTTAGTACACCCCCTACAGTTCAGTATGCACATGTGAACCGCCTTGTTACGATATGCCTGTTATTTTCCTATAATTTCCAAAACATGCTTATTATGCTGCAGACTACATGCACATAGTACATTCAGATCCACAGAACATCTCTCAGAATCAATCAGAATTTCCCTGGAGCCTGTCAGTGCTCTGTATGCAAATATAAGCTGAAGAAGAGAGTGGAAACTAAAAACAAATAATCCCTCAGCTCCAACATGTCAATGGCGAGCGCTAGCGAGATAGAGAGAGATGTTAAGTTCACCACACACCTGACTTGCCTTGTCGTGTAGTGCAGGGTCCAAAATTCTAAACCTTTGTTTTTGACAGATATCTGCACGCCGTTCAGCGGTGCTCATGACTCCGGCAGCCAGTCTTTTAGGTAAACAGACAAATGCTAATAGTAAGTCACCTCAGTTAACATTGCTTTCCTAGGCTTTTTCAACTAATATCTTTCACCTCGTCAGCCACAGTCTGACGAAAACAGTCTGTGAAGAGGTAGAAAACAGATGTCTGGCGTGATAAGTTATTCTGAAAGCTTAATTTTATTCAGTTTATAGGAGTAGAGGGTAAAAGTGAACATGGACCTGGCTATTATTAGCTCTCTTTGCCGTTGTTCTATAGCAGGTCACTGCTACGTGATGCTGCATGGTGCGGGACAGCTTGGTGCGTCCAGTGTGTGGTGACCTTTACAGTGGGACCTGCCGTACACATTTCAGCAGCTAAGTAATTCTCTAACTCTGTGAAACATCTCTGAGAGAAACTAAAAACTTATTGACTCAGACACCCTATCTAGCTCTTTTTATTTAAAATAGTGAAGACAAAGCCACCTACAAAGTTGTCAAAGCTAAGAAGAACTTTTAATGTTTTTCTCCCCTTGATTAAATGCAGTAGTGACAGAAACCAGGCCTGGTCAGTCATGCTGCCGTAATTTATATCGCTGTTGTCGGAAGAAAACCTAAAATGATAGCTTTACAGGAAAAGAAAAAAAAAACTACTTCACTTTTAATGTAAGTCAGTGGAACCAAACTTATTTTCCAAGTCATTCCTTATTTCTTTTGATCCATTCTTCATGAAATTTACACACAATGAAAAGGACAACAGGCATTTTCAATTTATACCAAAAACTGAAAATGACAAAAATGGAGATTTTCTTCCAACAGCAGCGATATATATATATAAAGGTACTGTAACCATACCACTACTGTGGCTCAAAAAGCATGACACACACCAAACTGTGGGCCTACTATACCGTTGTATCCCTAATATATAGTATTAAACTAACGACTGGATATGGGGGTAGTTATGTGACTTTTTTAAAGTCCTGCTAATACAGTGACAATATTGGTCAATTAGAGGAACTTGTTGACCATGTGAGACGCTGTCTTTCAGTAGCAAACCAAAGATTAATTTGAGCTTTGTGAACTGGGTTAGATTTCAGTCTAAAGGTTTTAGTAAAATATCCTCCCACTTGGATTCCTCTTGCATCATGAAGCCTTGTTTATACAGACAGATGCACCTCAGGGGCTGCACTGACCACTCTGTCCAAAACTCTTTGGTGGTTATTATTTTTATCTGTGTCAGGCATGTGCAGTCTTTTTCCTGAAGTGCACCACTGCGGCAGAATTTAGCTCTAATCAAACTCACCTGCTTTTCATTTTCAGCATTTTAATTAAATGAGTCCGACCAGACCCACAGGACCAAGTTTAGAGTGTGAACCTGACAGTATCCTCACAAAATTCTGTTTGAACCTGAGCACCACTGACCAAAGACTGAATAAAAGTCAATATTGCTATTGATATTGCCTGCAATGTTAGCTTGTGGCGTAGCCATAATGACAAATGTCATCAGGTTAGCGAAAAACAAAATAAAAATAAATAGCCTGTTATACAGCTTTCCAAAATGATGTCTAATTTCACTTTTCCACGTTTTTTATTAACTCAAGGCACTTCACAATTTAAGTTCGATTAAGGGGTATCAAGAAGCAATTAATAAACAATTCTAAATGCATCTTGATGCATCTCCAGTTTTTTATATGTGTAGCTTACATTATGATTTTCTTGTTCATTTGTCATTAAAGTTTGCTGCATCCTAGACCTACTTTCTATTCTTTTATCATTAACTGATTTGACATGTTTCATGGAAATCACATATTAAATATTGTAAAATATTTAAAAAAATACAATGTGTATCACTGTAGCAGAATTAGATGGATAGATGCCTGGAAATTAGATGTAGATTAGATATTATTAGGTTACAACTTATTGGGACACTTAAACTGCACAGAACAGGCTGAGAATATTCCTCAGATGGTATGTAACACTATGGAAAATTCCAGCAATTTTTTAATTTACTTTGTATGCTGCTGTTTTACTGTTAATCATTCAGTATGTACTTAAACTTAAAAACTAACTCTGAATATTACTGAATTAGGCGTTAGCCTGTTCACTTGGCTAGCCTGAGATGGTTATCAAAGAAAGCAGTATTCTCATGTACCATAGCTTGTGTACAAACAGAGCACAGGGGGCTTAAGCCTCCGCTCTTTTGTCCTCAGACTGTACAAGTGCCCTTTGTTTTATATAATAGCTGTCTTTTATATGGCTGTTCTTTAAGATCGTTGAGATCAGCCTCACCTGGGAGCTTGTGGGTCAACTTTGGTTCCATGAGCTCATCGCTCTTGTATTCCTTTAGTGCTG